CTTTTTTTACAGAAAACTATATAGGCATCTTTTTTATAGGAAGTAACAAAGCACTCATTATGAATTTGGAGAGTACTTAAACTTAGGTGGTGCTGACGCATGCCACATGCCTCCCAAAAATGCAAGTCATTACAGTACCACAAGTGTAATTAATTGCTCAATAGGTTTAAAGTTCTTTTCTTTTCTTTGTCTATTTCTACAGATGAATCTTTGGGCCTTGAGTGGAATATGAGATACGACATAATCAAGGGGATTTGCAGTGGCATGCATTTCCTTCATGATGAATGCCATATCGTTCATCTGGACCTAAAGCCAGAAAATATATTGATAGACTCTACCATGACAGCAAAAATCGCGGATTTTGGTTTATCAAGGATCTTTGGAGAGCAAGAATCTCAAATTATCACGGATAATCGTGCTGGAACATGGTTAGCTACGGGTCTTGCACCTATGATTTTTTTTCCCTTCCCTCAGCTACTTTACATCTCTTTGTTTATGTTTGCACTTCTTACTGTATATACTGTTGCAGTGGATATATGGCGCCAGAATACTTAATCCGAGGTGTAGTGTCAAACAAGGCAGATATCTTCAGTATGGGTGTCATAGTTATAGAGATAATTACAGGTCATAGGGACTATCCAGATTTCCAGCAAGATAATCCCCACAGTGCTGCAGCATCACTCCAGCAATTCACAGAAAAAGTAAGTCAGAATTAATCTACATTTGCATGTAGACCATCCTTGAGCTAATTATTGCAAATGCATAGGTGCTCCTTAGCTGGAGGAACAAACTCATGTCCACACCAGACTATAAATCAACAGAAACATCTGTCCGACAAGTAAGACAATGTATTGGTATAGCGCTTGAATGTGTGCACCCTAGCATGGAGAAAAGACCTACTGCAAAGGATATACGCGAAATGCTTAATGGATTAGACAAGGTACGATTACATACTTACATATCGTCAATATATCATGTCATAGCTCACGGTTTAAATGTCTATGAAGGGACATAATATGCCAAAATAACACTTCCTCCGTCCCAAAATAAATGTTGTTGATTTAGTACAACTTTGTACTAAGTGTTGATTTAGTATAACTTTGTACTAAATCAGCAACACTTAATTTGGGACGAAAGGAGTATTAATATCATGGTTCTCATTTAGCACCATAAAATTATTTACACTACAAAAATCATGTGATACGTAAACCCAACTGTCTTATGCTTCTTATCCTTTTTATTATGTGAAAGTGAAGTCCAAGATTTATGAAACAATAATCAGTAAAGAGAAACTTAGTTCTGTGAGTCTTAAATTTATTAATTCAATTTTTTAACTAGCTGTGTACTTTGGTGTGTATATATGTATAATGTGTGAGGCAGATGGTGGCAGACTACGAGCCGCTGTCGGACATGCAGTGCAAGGACATGCTGCAGGCCCTGAACACTACTGTGAGTAACGATCTCACATCCCAGAACCGGAGTATAACTAACGACATGTTAAACAAAGAGACAGATAGTAAAGTGGTGGCCAATGCGAAATCGTTGGAGGGTTTGTTACACACACCTTTGCCAGAATCAAACAAAATAAATGAGATGGTGAAGTGGTGGGCAGCGAAGGCATCCTGTAAGCCACAACCAACAAGGGACACAACCATTGTGGTAAGCTTACTGACCCTCGCAAAGAAAAGGTCACTGACAATGAAATCTGACTTGCAAACCTTTGTCCACTTAACCAGTCTACGACAATGGAACTTTTTCTGCATTTTACTACAACCAGATAATTGAAAAACTGAGTTACTCTTTCTAAATGATTAAAGATTTGGACTGGATAATCAAGAAAGACTAAATGGTACCATGTTTTTCGTAAAGGAGGATAACCCCCTGCCTCTGCATCGAGCGATGCAAACAGTTATCTTCATTAAATTATTCAACAAGGCCTTACACAATGAATACATGAACTAACCCAAAGCCACCTTCCTTGCGAAAAACTATCACCCTACCTACAAGGTTGATGATGTATCCTGACCTCGCACTAGTACACACCATAAAGTCTGGTGGCCTCACCAAGCTGCCCGTCAGCTTGCAAAGAGCATCAAACGGTGAAGCAGACTCTCAGCGTGCACTGCATGCGCACGCTATAGAATCTGCCGCCGCCATCTTCCACCATCTCGTTTTCCTGATTAATAAATGCATTGACCTTGACAGACCCTTCTGTCGTCGATGCCACCACGACGCCAGGTATCTCGACCATCTTGCACGCGTCCATGAATATGCGTCCATTGCCGAGACTCCGCATCCCCATGCCATTGAGACTCACCATTGTCAATGTAGTAGATCCCACGCCGCTCCACGTTCTTGAACCCCACCTATTATCACTGGTCCCATCCCGTCCGTCCGCAGTTCCTCTAGCTGAGCACCCGAACACCCCAGGTGGCACCTCCAAGAAGGGAACGCCACACATGATATCGTCGTCGCCCAATCCGATGGGTTTCTAGATCTTCATACAGGCATGGGGTCGAGGTGGAGGGGAAGGACCTCGATGACACCTGCAAGGAGGAAATCTACGATCTTGGTCGTCGCAAGCCAGGACGAGCGAGCTGACACAAGTTTCCTTCGGTCCCATGCCACCTCCACCAGCACCCGCCAGCACATTCCATCAAACGAGACTGCAGACCACCTAGTGCAGTAGGAGAGAGGATGCATAGGGGAGAGGATCTAGCCTTCAGATCTAGTGGAGGGCCGCCGAGATCCAGAGCCACCAGCCACACCACCACTACACAGATCCACAGGCAACCGCCACGCTACCCTCGCAGCCGCCGCAACCATGCCTCTTCGAAGAAGCTCTGGGGACGCTAACCCGGTTTTTGAGCTTCGCCGAACGTGTGTCGTCTAGGGCCGCACACCATGCTAGGATGGAGGTCCCGTCAATGGGAGAGGAAGAAAGCCCGCCACCGCCATCTACCGAGCCAGCTTTGCCCGTCAGCTTCCTCCGGCAGCAGCGGGGTGGATGGAGGAGAGGAGACTCATGTCAGCGGCTAGGGATTCACCCGTGCAGGCGCCTCGAGTTAAATAATAATAGAATATTATTGGAATGAAATAAAAAAAAGAATGAGAGGTAGAAATAAAAAAAAGAATGAGAGGTACAATGCAAGTAAATAGAAGAACCGAGCACATGCATGAATCAGCAGATGAGAACAGGTCTTTAGGTTGTCGGAGAACAGATTAGAATACTGAATACATGTTGTGGAAATGAACAGATGGAACCAATGGAAGATAAATATATCCGCTGATTGCTTCTCTTCGTTTTTTTTCTTTCCTGATCTGATGAGTAAGGTAGCAATCACATTTGGGTTCATATTTTTTGACGTAATCTTGCTTCAACAACGAGTTGATATCCGCTGATTAATTCCCTTTGTTTCTCTTGCAATTTCATGCACTACCATCAATGCAGCAGGCAATCCCTACTTTAACACAGGTACGGACTTTTGTTCTCTCACTCAACTGATCCTCTAACGTTAATTTGGTATCTAAAATGCTGACCAGAATTTTGTCTTTTCAGATCATATCTAGGGAGGTCCCTAAAGAGCGCATGATTTCACTAGACATAAATCAGACAGAGTCATGGTGCGTGCCTAGCATATAGTTTGGGCATTATAATATTCAACCTTTTAACATTAGTTGTCTAAGGAATCTTTATTTCTAAGTCAACCGAATTTCACATGATGAAACCAAGACTTGCACGAAAACTTATTTGTAACTTTGTAGAAATGTGCGCCTATCAAATTGCATATTTGTAGAACTTTGTGGCTATCTTTTTTTGCAATATGAATAAAAAAATCAAGATTGTCAACTAACTAAAAGAATTTCTTTCTCAACTTAGAAATAGAAGATCCCTGTAATATTCAAACATCTTTCTTGACATTAATGCATTAATAGAACTTGAAGATCCTGGGTTGATTTTTTTCTCCTCATCACCCAGGATTGCAACAGGCCACGAAAATGGATATATTGATATATGTGATTATATCATGCAGGTAAATTACCGTCTTCTTATATTTACTATGAAATAATTTGGGTCATGTACATCTTCAGATGCAGAAGTCGCAGAAGAGTTCTCTCACATTGTCTGAAGGAAAGAAAGTAAATTACTGTGTTCTGCATGTGCCAGCCTCTTCTTTTGACATGGAATGCTCGTTTTCCATTAACTTTGCGTGGCAGAATCACCGGACAGAGCACCAATTAAATCGTCTGGGGGGTTATCTAACCACACTTGTTGGTAACCCTGAGCGTCCTCTTAACCTCTGTGAGACTAATGCATGCGCTTGCTTATTACATTTGTGTGAATGGTATACAACTCGATGAACGATGCTCTCATTAGGAAATTGGTCTCACAGAATTAAGAAAGCACCCAAAGTGGCCAAGTAGTACTCACTTGAGGTGACAGCCACTACTGATTTGTACAACCAACATTGTACTCCTAGTGAGCCGCTGCACAAACATTTGATCATTAGTATATAATAAAATATTTTGGCATTGCCGGATACGTCATGAAATAAACTTTTACAGTGTGTACTTAACTTTATTTGAACCAATTTATTTTCTCAATACCTTCTGGTCGAAGTGTCGCGTCATTTTTTGTCCGGAAAACTATAGAGGCCCGAACAATATATTATTTTCATGCCGTGCAGTGCCTAAAATTACCTACGCTGTGCCTTAGCAGGAGTAAAGCTTCAGCCAAGATATTACAAAACTTAGTTACATTATATAACATATCTCTTTTTCTGCCTGTTTCCATAAGGGGTGATCCTTGGACCCCCATCATCCCTTTGAAAATGTACCAAACCGAAGAGGGTTACACACCCTCCTCTCCCACTCCCACTTTAAATGATGGATTAGGAACAAACCCAGGAAGAAGTATGCTTTGTAGGTGGAGACAATGTATATATGGTTGTAGCACACATCTATTAGGACCTCATTAGATTAATGCGGACATGGGTTATCCAGGCCATAAGCGGTTCTGATGGCCAATCACACATTCTGAATTACCGTGGGAAAAACGTAAAGGGCTATTACATGAAGCTTAATTTGTATTGACAAACGTATGGTGCATACTAATTTTTTTTTGCATTGGACTAACAAATAATCCATCTGTATTTACCGACAGAAATCAGTGTGTTTGGTTAAAATCGAAGATGTTGACGCCCCAGGCATGCTCTCTACCATTTTCTAGCATAAGTTACTTCCATCATATATACACTGATATGCTAATAAGATTATCCTTCTTGCTGCAGTTGATAATATTAAATTTATTGAAAGAAAGCAATGGTTTATTGTCGGTTTAGGGGCTGGGAGTGGCAAAATCTATGTGTATAGCTATAAACCGGAGGTGCAGAAAATCACGAGTTTTCGTGTTAAGAGATACTTAATCGGTATCGACTCACTGGCCGTTCATCCAACCCAACCGTATGTGTTGTCATCATGTAGTGGGTACATACAACTTTGGGACTGGGATAGGAACTGGGAGTGCGTCAAAAAGTTTGAGAAACTATCGTATTTTAACATGGAATTGCAACTTGCATTTAACCCGAAGGACCCCAATGAATTTGCTAGTACTTCAAATGATATGACTGTAAAGGTTTGTATTCCTCTCCTGTCATATTTCCTCTATCCTAAATTTTGGCAAAAGGAAGATATGTGTATTTGTACTGGATGTTGATCAACTTCTATACTTTGTGTTCAGCTTTGGAATCTTGATTCACTCAAGCCTAAATATATTCTGGATGGTCATTCAGCCAAAGTGAACTGTGTTGAGTTCTTCACAACTGATGATAATAAGCAGTATTTGATTACTGGATCTAGTGACAAGTTTGCCATGGTCTGCTATTTCATTGAAACATACATTAATATAGTACTCACATATATGAATTGTTGATACTATATTTCCTTTTGAAAGCAGATATGGGACATGCAGACAAAAACATGTGTTCAAATATTTGGAGAGTTCAAGTCATCCGTTATTTCTGTTGTTTCCCATCCCAGTCTTCCAGTTTTAATTATAGGCACAAGAGATGGCACTATTCATTTGTGGGGCACACATTTCAGGTAATTACCTATCATGCTACTAAATGTACAACAGACGCCTAGTTCGCACCAATTTATGAGGTTTGCCTAAGCTAGTAATCTTGCAAGTGCAAGACATATCTTGACTAATATAAACCAACCAAATAGATTATGGGAACAACAAGTTTCTTCAAAACTCAGCTTAGGATAATGTACCATAAGGTGATGATGATGTAGTAACTCTTGCAATTATATAAAGCACATTCAATTTAACAGTTGAATGATGCTATGGCCATTTCCTATTTGGAACGCTGGTCACATCTAAAAAACTACAAATTGTTGCACCATTGAAAAGATAGTCTTGCAATTAAGTTGTAATCACAGAATTTTGGTACTTTGTAACAGAACTTTCACAGCAATAAAAAATTCTTAAGGTGCAAAAATGGCAGTATATCCCCAATGATGCATCTTCCCACCATCTTAAAGCCCACACTGAAGATCAAAGCTTATGGATCAATCAGGAAAACTGCATAATAATACTTTCTTTCAGTAGAGGTTATAAACTAACAGACACCATCTCCCATATAAACCCATAAACAAACCCCAAATTGGGTTTGCACTTTTGTCGCTAAAAAAAGCAAAGGCGGTACCAATCAATTAGTGCCTCCATTCCAAAAGTTCACAAGATACTAGAAACTATTTATTTATTTATTTGATGAAAATGCTGACGGTGCAACTTTTCATTACTGTAGCTAGGAGTGAACAGGAATGGTTTTACAAAGCACAAAATGCATAAAGCTAAACGAAAAAGACAGAAAAATAAAAGGGGAAAGGGTACAATCAATCAGGCTCCATAGGTCGTTCCAATAGGCTTTGTATACATATGTAACTTTATTTATTGGACTAAAATTTAATGACCTAGTTGTAGTTAACCAGATAAAAAAAATATCAGTACTTACCCATTCATAGCCATGAAGTTTAACTTGTATCAAACTCATATGGTTATTTGTAAGTTGGAACTTGAAGCAATCATTAACTGTCTACTCAACCTAGAGCAATCATCTATAGTGTTTCAACAACTACTTACCTGGCACATGCTTACGTGTCAGCAGTCTACACATAGAAGCCATTGAAAAACAATAGCTACACACAGAAAAATAGATTACTTGATGCAGTTTGAGTGTGCGATCAAATAGTTGCCACAAGGGTTAGCCTGTCTGTAAATTCCAATGCGGGCAACCTGATCTAACCCATGAGCTACTCGTTGATCGCCAACGCCGGACCAGACTCCTCTAGCATTGCCCTTCGCACCACCCTCGATAGCATAACCGTCGTTAGCACCCTCCCTCCATTGCTGGTGTTGTGCTTTCCAGCCATTGCAGCGCTCTTGCACATGACGGTCTCTTCCCCGAGGAATGCGGCGCCATCTTGCGGGTCCAGGACACCCCATGTAAATTCTTCCAGAACCACATCCTTGCTTCCTTCCATTCCAGAGTGTCTTTCTCCCCCTCGCCCTTGCCTTGCCGGCATGGTCTTTGCCGACTATGGATCACCCCCTTCATCTCCGCATTTTATCTGCCCATTTTATAAAACATCGTCAACTACCTGTTCCATGTAGCTCTAGAGCATCTCCTCATTTTTGTCATAGAAGAAAATGTTTTCTCTATCCTCGCACGCTAAGTTGCAACTGTGGGGTAGGCACTGAAAAAATAGCGCGCTATAGCATGCTGATCAATGACTCGCTATATAAATCAATTACAATATTTCACTAATAGCACACTAATAGTAGATTTTAAGCTAGGCTTTTTTGCATGCTTCCATGAAGGAGGCCTGCATTACGATCATGAAAATTCAAGCGCGTTTGTTTCCCTACCAAGCCCCAACCACATGGTGTAAATGTTTTTGTTGGCAGTAAGGTGACCACTGGCTGGATGCACCATGCGCCCGGACTTTCGCCGTGCCGCCTCTGAATGCTTTTGGAGTGAACTCCATAATTTTCTGGAGGCCGTTGAGCCAATGGGCAAACTCAAGTGTTTAACAAAAAAATGCCACAATTCAATCAACCCTAACGATAAGCTACCACTTTATAGAAATATTCAAAATGTACCACTCTATGACTAATTTTTTGCCAAAAAACCTACCATGTCAAAAAAATGACTGATTTAGCTCATTTAAACATGTTTATAACAGGAATGACCCACTTGTTAGGGCCGACGTGGTACCATAAGTCAACACTGTCTATTTGACCGACAAGTTGAGTGTTATGACATGTGGGACCCACATATGAGTCTATAAAATCCCCAAGTCTCCTCTTTCATCTAGCCCACCCACCTCACCATCCTTTGCCATGGCAGGCAACTACCGCCGTCGAGCGAGGGTGGGATCAACAACGACGGCCATGCGGATCCATGCACCGGCCAAGCTAGCACAATAGTTGTGTGCTAGCTTGGCCCGTTGTGGATCTTCTTTGGCCGCATGGATGGGAGGAGGCGTGATTTGTGGTGCAGCTCCCCTGCTTTGCTCCCCATGGTAAAGAGGTGACCGGCGAGCCTCAAGGTTGGAAAGAGAGGATCCATGATGGTGACCAGAGATGGGCGATGAGGAGCGGCGGAAGGGGACCAACGAGGCTGACGGGCAGATCCGGACGGGTGGCGTCCATGATGGCGGAGGCGAGGTCGCATTGGAGAAGGTGGAAGAAGAAGAGAGTGAGAGATGGGAGGGAGAAGGAAGAAGGAGGGGCACGGCAAGGAAGGATGCCTGGAGGACTTAGCATTGACCTAGATATTCCCTGTGAATTTTAAAGGAAGGAGATGAAACTGGCATGTGGGCACTACATGTTAACGGTCAAAGTAATGATGTTGACTTTTTCAGACCTGACGGGTGAGCCCAGCGTATCATAAACGGGTTTAAACGAGCCAAATCAGGCACCTTTCTGACATGATAGTTTTTTGCAAAAAAGGAAAAATAGTCATAGAGTGATAGGTTTTAAAAAAAATCAAAGTGGTAGCTCATCGTTAGGGTTTATCGAATTATGGTAGTTCTTTGTTAAACAATCGGGCAAACTCAGATTCCCCAAAAGGGCAACCTCCATTTTTTATATTTTTTTTGTATTTGTTCTATCGAGTTGCATGTACGCTCTATTCCAACTCCCATTTGGCATAAAATAATCCAAACTTTCCACGGTTCAACATCAAACAATTCAACAATATTACAAGCCTGATTTAGCTTATTTAAACTAACAAATAATCAAAATACAAAGAATTATTAGAAAATATCAAATAATCCAAACTAACAAATACTTTGAATGCAACAACTAATCCAATGAAACAAATAGTCCAAGTTAACAAATATTCTTAAGTTAAATGATTGGGTTGTGACCTTGCAGACTTCCACTTCGTCCGGGTTCTCATTATCCATTGAGAAATCATCACCACAATCTCTTCCTCAAAGTAGACGATCATCCTCATTGGGTATCATGGACGCAGTTTTTTATAAGATAATTATGACCCTATCTATCTCTGCATACTTTAAGTCATTATAATGGAAGAAGCTATCTCTTTAGCGTCACTACCAAGACTCCAAGAGAAACCCATAAACTCTCAGCCTTAGACACACAGTCCCTATCAAAAAAGTATAAATATTGTGGAGTCCGTCCTGAAGCGCCTCACTTGCCTAGTTGTCGTCGGCATCGTGTTGGGTTCTTACCCTGCTGCTGAAGTGAACTTCGTTAGTTGGTTGGGTAGGGGATGCCTCCAAAGGTACACGTTGCTAGCTCCTGGCCAGTCTCCTTCTGATGAGGGATGACAATCTAGATGCCCGACTGCGGTCGTTGTGACAGACGCCTGAGGTGACGAAGATGGAGAAGGTGAGGTGTGCCGGCCATATACCTGATGCGCCGGCAATGACGACAAGACACGACAAGGGAATGTTCCAGGGTGAACACCCAGTGGAGAAGAAGAGCGTCGTGGCATACAAAGGGTTGACGCCAGTCGCCTGGTGCACAGGGGAAGAGCGCTGTGGCGTGCAAAGGGTTGATGGAAGGACGCCCGTAGGCTGCATGGGTGAAGGCACCGGGAGCAGCGCTGGAGCGCCGGAAGCAGGGGGCAGCGCAGATGGGCATATAACCAGAATAAACAAAAGAAAGGAACTACTCTCAAAATTCTTTTAAAAAGATTCGAAAGTAAATAGGTTATAAGAAAATATTGAAAAGATGCTCAAATTTACACACTATGAATTGTCGCTAAGCAAAAGCGGACAGAGGAAAGACATTGGTGACACGTCCAACTCTCAGTCTTTTGTTGCTTTGCTTTTTAGAAATGATTGTGAAAAGATGCTCAAATTTGCACACTATGAATTGTCGCTAAGCAAAAGCACATATATGATTGTGACTTCTGAGGGTGGGTTTTTTCTTATGCATATTGTGCGATGATGTGACATGCTTGCATCTTGAGAGAAATAGTTAGAGAGGGCTATTTAGATATAGAAGATGTCAGAATAAATCCGAGGCCACCGTCGATCTACCGAGGATCAAGCAATCAAACAAGCACGACTCCGAGATTTGTTATCGAGGTTCACCGATATGGCTACATCCCCGGGGCATGACTACGGGTGCTCCTCCCCATGACACCGCTACAATACCGTACCCAGGTCGCCCGGGCGCCGGCACACGCCGCCAGCTCCCCCGCGTGCCCATGCTATTATGTTGGCATAGGTTACATCGTGTGTCTAGCCCGCTATATATGAGAGGCCTAGGATACCAGTGTCCTACTTGGACACGACTCCGTATACTGTCTACACACCATACGACTCCAAGTTCAACTGTAACCTAACTTGTACAATAATATCCGACACAACTTTAACAGAAGATATGTAACATTCATAGAACAATTAGTAATGGACTACTTCATATACAGGTACAAGAGACAACTTACCACCGAGGGAGGTGCTAATGGTCTCACATGTTTGACGTCGCTAGGAAGGTAATCAAAACTCCCTCTGTCTACTTATACAAGGCCACTTAGTGATAATAGCTAGGGAGTATTTATCTTGTTCATGTTGGCTTTTTTGCCTGCCTAATAAAATAACATATATAATTTCCTTTTTCATTTATAGAGTTTGTTCTCGAGAGCTAAGGTAGCTCCATCCATTCTTCTTGTGTTCGAGCCATTCAATTTCTTATGATGTGAAACCTGTAAACCACATATTCTTTGCCAACCAGGGTTGTGATGGGAAACGAGTCGGCGCTATTCACGATGGAGATCCTTGACGAAGAGCCGGATGCTATTGTGGAAGCTGAAGAAGCAGTTGCTAGCTAGGGCAGCAACAGAAATCCCCTCATTTACCCTCAATATGATCTGCGGCCGTTGTGTATTTGGTTGGATACATTAGTGATATGGCACACGTTCATTAATTAATCATACTATGTATGTATGTGCTGCTACTGTACTTCCGACGCCGTGTAATGCTTCCCCACAGCAGCAGCTAGCGGCTACGCATGACCCATGCTAGTTTGCTGCTGCTTCCTTTGATTTATAATTACTAGGACATATGCTCGTGCGTTGCAACTGGAAATGTAATTGGTGTGTTCATCAAAAGATCCACTAGCATGGCATGACAACATTTTAATGTTATCACTCGACGGTGGCAGGGAAGCACACACACCAAGTTCTAGCAGACATGTATATCAGTGATATGTTAAGAACCATGCTACACTACAATACTCTTTGGGTATGATCTTTATATGATAGTTCTAGTCACGTCATCCATGAATAAATCAAAGTGTAGGAAAGCCAAATTGACTAATTCCTCCATCTAAAGGGCATAATTTTCAAATGGGGCATTTTTTGAAAGTCAGAGCAATTTTTGGAATTGGACGGGGCCACCAAATATCTCGCTAAAGGGCCCGTTTTAGCACTCTCACCTCCCTGGGTATTAATTCCTTTGTGTTATTATCGATGCTTGCAAATTCAATTGTCATGGTAGTCACTTTTTCTCTCTTTTATCCGCCACACAGCATTGCCAGAATCATTAGCGTAATTTATTTAGCGCGCACATCTCCTTTCTCCCCATTTTATTGGATAAGACCCACACTTCATCCTTTCTTTCCTTATTCTCAAGGTGACTTGCATTTTTTGATGGATAGACGACTTTCTGATTTTTTTTTCAGGCAACTTGTTCATATATATAAACTTGTGAATCTACATTACTATTAAAAAAGCAAACATGAATTCCTCTAAAGACACATCATAAAGTGTACACCGGGTAATCAAAACCCTCGGATACATTTGATTAAGTGAAATCTAAGAGCCCATAATGATCCCGTGGTCTGCCAGTCAATCGAACGGTTCATATTCGATGTTCTGCCGACAGACCACCTCGCGCACCTTTTATCTAGGAAAAAAAAATCAAACTTATTACTCCCTCTCGTTCCGTGTAGTCTGGTATAATTTTTCGGGATTGTTATTTCAGGTTTAGATGTAACATATTATCTCACATCTAAGTCCAGGGCTGTTGATTTTTTTTGTCTTTAAAAGCCCTGCACATGTGATGTGCCTGCCGCGTGATTGTTCGCACCACGTTCTCACGGCTGTCAGGCCGGCGAGGTGGGCCTTTTCTTATGTTTTTACCATTCGTCAAGTCGCGTCTTGTGGTTGCATTATTAGGGCTTCTCCTCTGCACGCTGCTTGCTATGTGTTCAAAGTCGAGAGCCCTCGCTCGCTGCTTGCTTGCGTAATCATTTTGGGTTGCATTATTAGGGCTTCTCCTCTTCTTTTTTTTTGTTTTCTTTTTTTTTGTCATTTTAAAATCCATGATTTTTCAAAATTTATAAGTCTATTTTATATTCACCTTTGATTTAGTTCTCAAAATTTTCATGCAAATGATCTATCTTTTGCCTCGCTTGTTGTTGTTTGTTTATTGCGTATATTGTTGTTCGCCTAGGCATGTTTTGTCTCGTTTTTGTCCGCCCTGGACTCACTACTAGGGCTTGAACCTTGTTTGTCTCAGTTGCATGTCCACCCTCAACTCGTAATTAGGACCCGACCTTTTTTATCCCAGTTGCAAGTTCACACTCGACTCGCAACTGGGGCCCGATCTTCCTTTTTTCCCAGTTGCAAGTTCACCCTCGAGTCGCAACTGGGACCTGAACTTTTTTATCCCAATTGCAAGTCCACTGTTGACTCGCAGCTAGAGCCCAACCTTTTTTTCTTGTTGCAAGTCCG